CATAGGCAGAGTGTTTTTTTCCTTCTCCCCTCCTCCCCCCCCCCCCACAAAGCAAGCAGATGCAGATGTCTTTTGTTAGCCAAATAGTGCTGGGTGGGGGTGGGCTGCTACTGGTTTGCCCAGTTCAGGCGAACATGTAGCTAATTTTATCATTTTTTTATGGGTGGTTCAGTAAACCAGCAAATCCACCCCTGGCTGGCCCTGCCCACCACGCCTCACCTCTTCCCTCCCAGGCGTCTCCACGTGGCCCATTTTAGATCCTAAGTAAGTGCAGGGCCTGCAAGGAGGCCCAGGGAGGGTGAAAAACGCCCCCCCCCCCCCCGGAGGATACGGAAGGCCGGAAACAGGGCCATTTCCAGCCTCCAGGGGTACTCCTGAGCCCCGGGAGGCCGTTTTCGCTCTCCCGGAGGCTCAAGGGAAGCCTCCGGAGCCTGGGGAGGGCAAAAACGCCCCCCACATCATGGTGCAGGAGGTTGACGAGGCCACGCCCACCATGGCCACGCCCACCCAGCCACCAGGCAGCGAACTGGTTGCTAAAATTTTTGAAGGGTAAGGCCTCACGGGAGGCCTACCCATGTAATGATCCAAACAATGTAAACCATCATCTTAAATGGTAAATTTGCTTGTAACTCTCCTAAATCTTACAGCAGGGGTCCCCAAACTTAGCAACTTTAAGACTTGTGGACTTCAACTCTTCCAGAATTCTGGACTTCTGAAGGTCCGCAAGTCTTAAAGTTGCCAAGTTTGGAGACCTCTGTCTTAGAGTCTTAAAAATTATTCTTTATGTAAAGATCTCAAAGGCAGAGCTGCTAGCTTTCTGGTCACAAAACCTTTACCCAGATTAGCTACAAACTTCACAACTCCATGTGTGCATGATGTAAATCTCGGTTACACCTTCCTTTCCATTCATCAGTTTGCAGCTCCGGGTGTTGTGCAAATCCAGCCTTGCAGGATTTTGTTTAGGAATAGCTGTTTTGTGCACACGCAGAAAGTGAATTAACTTGGCAACCAAATTAAGTTCAGTGTTCAGTGATTGCGGCCTCCGCCTTCAAGCAGGGCCACCTCCCAGTTCTGTGGTTTTATTTAAACCAAGAAAGAGTTGGCCTTATCAGCGAGGGCTGAGCAATTCTTTTCGTCTGGCGGATTATTGTACCTTCATTTTGACTACAGGTCAGAAAGATGGAGGCAGAAGTGAACGGAGCTCCTGCACGTTGAACTGTTCTTTGAAGTACAGAATTGAATTTTCTTGCTATTGCCCGTTTTATTTCAAGGACTGGCAGGGGGAATCTCGCCATGTTTCAGGCAGGCCACTGGTGGCTGACAGCTGTATATCTACCATCTCCAAGGAGAGTGTCATATTTTGCTTCAGTTCTTCCCCTGTCAAATACACTAACTTTGCAATCTTTTATCAGAGCAATTGAATATATTCTTTTATACTGCCAGCGCCTGGTAGAATCTTTTTTTCTTTTTTCCCCCTTTTTTCTTTCTTTCTTTCTTTCTTTCTTTCTTTCTTTCTTTCTTTCTTTCTTTCTTTCTTTCTTTCTTTTCTTCTCCCTCCCCCTCCCTCCCTCCCTCCCTCTTTTTCTTTCTTTCTTTCTTTCTTTCTTTCTTTCTTTCTTTCTTTCTTTCTTTCTTT